ACGCTGAGCATGTGCACTCAACTTCTTTGGTCGACCATGGCGAGGCCTGTTCTGAGTGGAACCTGTCCTGTTAAACCGCTGTATGGTCTTGGCCACCGTGCTGCAGCTCAGTTTCAGGGTCTTGGCAATCTTCTTATAGCTTACGCCATCTTTATGTAGAGCAACAATTCTTTTTTTCAGATATCCTCAGAGTTCTTTGCCATGAGGTGCCATGTTGAACTTCCAGTGACCAGTATGAGAGAGTGAGGGCGATAACACCAAATTTAACACACCTGCTCCCCATTCACACCTGAGACCTTGTAACACTAATGAGTCACATGACACCAGGGAGAGAAAATGGCTAATTGGGCCCAATTTGGACATTTTCACTTAGGGGTGTACTCACTTTTGTGGTCAGCGGTTTAGACATTAATGGCTGTGTGTTGAGTTATTTTGAGGGGACAGCAAATTTACACTGTTATACAAGCTGTACACTCACTACTTTACATTGTAGCAAAGTGTCATTTCTTCAGTGTTGTCACATGAAAAGATATAATAAAATATTTACACAAATGTGAGGGGTGTACTCACTTCTGTGAGATACTGTATATATTATATATATATATAAAAACAAAAATGAGAAATGTTGCCTTGGCAATGAACTAAAATACAATAAAAAAAATTGTTTTAAAATTACTAAAGCAAAAAAAAAAAAGCTACATTGAAATATTAAAACAAAACAATAACTAAAAAAATGACAAAAGCACATAGCAAAATCAATAAAATGAACAAAAATGAAACCTGAAAATATAAAAATAAAAGCTAATTCCAAACATTAATAAATAAATAATACTAAAATAGGAAACTCACAGAGTCATGGTTGCAAATAGAGGTGATCACACTGCTGTCAGGTGATATGGAACATCTGAAGACCCAGTAGTTTGGACCCCGCAGCACATGGGGACTGGCGCCTGCAAATATCAGAATACAATCTTCATAAGTACAAAATTAAAGGTCATGAAAACTTACTTTCATCCCATTGCAAAGATAAGTTGCTTCCACATCATATGCTCTGACCTTTCTTCGCCAAGTCCCATATCCTTAAAGTTTTATCTCGGGAGGCCGATACAAGTGTGAGACTTCCATTTGGAGTGAAGACTAAATCCCTGACAGGAGCCTGATGTCCGGTTAGAGTAAACCGCAGATTTCCTAAAGACAGAATAGGGATTTACTAACATATTAAACCTAATACTACATGTGCTTAACACCATGCTGTTAATATTTAGACCAATCTAAGTTCTTGATGGTGAAACTGAGTCCAGAGTTCAATCTTACCAGTTGAGACGGCCCACACTTGGATCACGCCGTTGTTCAGACCAATGGCCAGCAGTAGCTCATGATAATGTCCGTTCTGATGTGAAGCATCCACTCGGGTAGACAGGCAGGGACCAAACGCCAGTGCCCAC